AAGAACAGGGAGAAGTTAGACCAGTATGACAAGGGGTTGTACAAGGGATATATTGTCATAGTATGACCCACGTCCTGCAGTATTCCACACAATGATGCCATCTGAATCTTCAGTTTAAGGGCATCTGTCATTGATAACTGAGAGCAAGAGACTACCCTGCAACTTATCTGAAGCTAGAAAAATATCAACCCCTCCCCCCATATTTGAGAATGTTGTATACCTAACCAACTTCTGATAATACCTTACTTTGAGGAATATCTAATGTTGTACTTTATACCATTAGCTACATTTCCTCAATGTTTGATTTTATCTAAAAGGAATTGTTCAATATTTTGGGAAAAAAAGTTTCACTTTCCAAGTGAGATGAATCGATTGGGACCTTTCATGTCTGTGTGTTAAGCACCCACCCTGAGCTGGAGTCAAGACATGGTTAGCCCAGCTTAGCATTAATACCAGAAGCAGGGGGAAAGAACAACCATTGCACTGTTTTAAGAAAAGAATACACCTACCTGTAAAATTGACCCTTCCTAAGTCACGCCCCTTTTTGCTCGATGCTCCAATGACCATTGAGCAAACCACGGTCACCTTCCTCTATTCCTTTACTTAAATATGCTATGTGCTAGGCTCATCTATGCTGAAAAGACAACCACATTTTTTTGTTGGTTAAAAGATAAAAGCAACATATATCGTCAAATCCTAAGTAAGCTAATGTTAGCAAAGTGCTAGCCAACTAATCTAAATGAGTTGTTAGCTAGATTTAGCCGCTAGCTGTTAGCCACTTAATTGTTTTGCTTTGAAGCAAAACACTAGCTAACTAGCCAGCCAATCTAAATTGTTAGCTAGTTAGTTACATTTGATAACTAATGTTAACATAATGCTGGGTAACGATTGATTAACAAACTACTTTAGTGATTGGTTGAAATAATGTAATGTGGTGTCATGTACAGAGAGAGTGTACTAAATTGTATGCACAGTTTCCTCTTTCGGATCAATAATTATAATCTCAGTTTTGTCCTGAGATTGTATATTTTATTATTTAGTTTTTAAGGGAATGAAGGGGGCTCAGGTCATAAGGATCATCAGCTATATAGAGTTGGGTGTCATCTGCATAGCAATAAAAAAACAATACAAGTGATGGCCGTCGTAACTTTCATAAAATGAAAGAAGCTTTGCACTGAGACAAACAAAATATCTCTGATTTTATTCCAGCCAATGCATGGCACTGTCACGTATAGTGTTATAAATGTGTATGTTTGTGTCTTAGATGCAAGCTCTCCAGAGCCAACTGGAGTTCCAGGAGCAGTCCATGGTGGAGAAATCCCTAGTCAGCCGGCAGGAAGCCAAGATACGTGAACTGGAGAGCAAGCTGGAGTTTGAGAAGACCCAGGTCAAACGCCTTGAGGTGAGACAGGTGGAGGAGTGCTGGTGGTGCTCATGGTAATAGGCATGTGGGAGACAAAGCTCCATCATATGCAAGACATGAGAAGAGGTTGGTGGGAGGGTGAAATATGCTGCTGGGGTTACAGATAAACTGTAGAAACAGAAAAAGTTCACGATGAACTGAACATAAATGGCACCACATGAATATGTACTGTAGGTGCATTAAATTTCAGACCCCCAGTTGGATACAACCATCCCTGCTTTACTTTTTCCTTTAGCTTGTGTTACTTTTACTTGACAATACCGTTTGTTATTCTGTCATTTTCAAATTACTTTCAGATATTGCCTGAGACAAAAAGCACAAGTGAAGGATAAAGGTTACCATCCGCACACTTTCCCAGGGAGAAATTGAAAACCCTCTGCCACCCAATGATAAAATGACCCTGCACTCAATTTTGCAGGTTCAGTTTAGTAATTACTAGCTGTGCTATGTGCTCACCGCCAGGCACACTCCCTGTGCTCCTTGCTCTCCGTAGTCAAAATAAATACATGTATTTATTAAATGTGTGTTTAAGATAGCCGGTTTCTAGCCGGTGGTGATATATGCGCAGAAAATATGCACAAGGGTTAGACTCATTCTGCATTTTGGTTGGCTTTTTAATGGCTTCTCCCCAGCATTAAAAACTGCAGCGAGTGAATATTTCAGGTTACCTGAGTAGTACAACTCATCAAAGCTGGAGGTAGCGGAGCTCAATCAATACAGATGTGAGTAGGTACAGTACAACACCCACTCAGTATGTGGAATATGGAAAGAGCTGGTGGCTAATGCAGGAGCTCGCTCACTGATAAGTGTGCTGTTGGCATTGATGCACAGGCTGAATACAGACTTGCTGCAGATGTAAAAGACTCGTATAGGACGAGTCGCCTGTTAAAAAATAGCTGAAGACTAACATATGTGATGAAAGTCTTCTGCACCCCTCCAATGCATTATTGATACAAATAAGCTCATCAATAGTTAACGTTGTTTTCTGCCTCGGTTGGGTAGACATGTTGCGCTCTTATCCATACTCACTGAACCACAACAGGCATTTGCTTTTACCATTTCCTTGGAATCTATTGAGTTTTTCTTAATATGCTCAGATTCTTATCTGCTACAGAAGTGAAGTTTGAACCGGGGATTGGTCGATGCAGATTTCTGAGGGCTGTGATAACAACGATACTGTATTTATTCTGATTATTTTAGCCATTGGCAACTGAATCTGGTACAACTCAAGGTTGTACAATGAAAT